GATCGCGTGTTTAATATGTCGGTTGTGCAAAGTCCACAGTTACTTGATCTCGCAATTCACTGAGTTTCACAATGATCTGCAACTTAAACATCCTGACGATCACGATTGTTTGCTCTGCCGAAAATTCAGATGACGGCCTCGAATTCCTAGTAAACGTCTACCTGACCACAGGAGGCATAATGAACCACACCCTCTCTGCCGCATAGAGCACAGCTCGTTATTCGAGACTCGTGTCAGGCATGGAGCCTGCATTAGGTTTAATCACCACATTTTCATAGCGGAACTTCGTCTAAAATTGGCCATGTCGCATCGACTTCGAAATCGGTTGAAACTCATCAGCTAGTCGATGTTGGCAGGCTAAAATGCGCCGACGCGGTACGGTGGACCTGCCAAAAGAAAGTAGAGCATTATTTTAGTGTCATCTTTAGTGTCCAGACAGGAATTGCTAACTTCAATGAAGTTTACAAAGATTTCAAAGAAGCTGTCATTTTCTCTACGAAAAACGATGTTAGGCTCAGGAAGAGGAAGCCAAACTGTCCTGGGTTACAGAGAACGCTCCAGCCCTTAGAATACAAATGAATCAGGTTAAGAAGCAGTACTTGCAACATCCGAATTATCGAAGGCAGCTTATCGTCGTCTCTTTCGTGCAGTCAATCAAAGCTACAAGCGGGACAGAGAACTTTGGTTGGAGGGGAAATCAAAAAGATCGATAATGCAGTCAGAATAAGTGACTGGCGAACAGTGCTAAAACGAATGCGACAGTTGTTAAGTAAGCAGAGTACTCGATCTGTTTTTAGTCTAGACGCTAACGGTGACCCTTAGCATGATCAGAAGGAACGCCTAAAAAGACGGACTATATATTCAACAGCTGTCCCCAGATTTGTCATTTTCGACCGTTGATTGTCTGCCAGCGATAAATATTAGAACAAATCAACCCACAAAAAGAGAAATCCAAACAAACCTTGCAACACCTCAAAGTAAGAAAGCCTGCAGGATGGGTCGGATTTCTTCGGAGTTAATTAAGTATGGAAGAATAGTAATGATAAAAAACTCCAATGTCTAAATCATCAAATATGGATCTCTGAACATTTCCCTGGAGAATTTAAGTGTGGCATAATCTTCCCATTATTTGACGGGGAACGCGCAACAGAGTGCTCTTAATATTGTGGTATTACCCTACTGCTCACTCCTGGGAAACAGTTCTCACTGATCATCCTGGAATGATTGATAGGCAGTCGAATATTGATTCTAGTTGTCCTAAATTGCTAGTTTCTTTGACTTTAAGGCTGCAGTTGATCTGTACGTCGTTGGACGATGTGGAAATCTTGAAATGCTATTGGACACCTTAGTACATCGTTTCCATTTTCGCAGAGTTGTACACAATAACCATGTCCGATGTCCAACTTAGAGGAGTGCTACCTTAGTGCTTCCCAATCAGTAACGGAGTTCGTGACGAAGATATGTTTTTTCCCTTGCAATTCAACGTTATTCGCGACTTTCCTCCCCAAAACTCGACCATGGCAAAGACGAAGGTCTTGTTCTAGAGAAAAAGAGCAGTTCAAGATATTCGGCTAGATAGCTTTCTGACCTGTAGTACGCAAATGATACTATCCTGGTGAGTAATACGTGAAACAAACTCTGTCATCTGACAGTTTCCGCTTGCAAACAGCTACGAAATCTGACCTCTGCCTTCACAGCCTGAAATCCAAAGTTACGAGAAACGATCAAACATGACTGATTTACTAGTGTAACAAAGAGGGGAAGCCATCGAGGAAGTCGACTAGTTTAAGCATCTCGATTGCATCATCTCTAGCGATGGCACGATTCAATCAGAAATAAATGAGGATCGCCCTCGCACCCAGTGGTTTGCTTGGTAAGGGATAGCCCCTGTCACAAAAATCTGCTCCTACCATGCTTCTGTCAGTTCAGCGTTATTGTACGGCATAGAGACAGTTGCTCAAACAAAGAAGAAAGAACTACGGTTTAAATGCTCTCAGAATCATTGACTTCGACACATGATGCGGGTTAAATGACGGGACCACGCAAGGAATGACTCGATTCTGTTTCGAGCACAGGTGACCTCGACAGATCTACAGATTAAAAATGGAGGATGGTCCTGTTAGACAAAATGGTTGAACATGCACCATTTACTTTTCTGTGAGCTTCTCGTTAAAAGCCGAAACGCGACAGATGTCGACCAGGAGACCAGCATGCAACATGGTGGAACAAGGGGAGACAGATCTGCTTTCGGAGAAGTAATCGATGCCCTACAGCAACAGTGTTGTAAGACTGCAAACACAACGGACATCAAAAACCAGACACGTTCTGCTTGTGCAAACGGCTCAAGGTAATGATTACACATACAAGTCCTCAACGGCGGCAAAAAAGCTACTGGCTAAATCGCGCGCTGAGCGAGGCCGTTTCCGAAGTAGGACGAACACTCGCCGCATCAACAGAGGCAGCAACCATCTGTTGTGCGGCAAGGAAACCAATTCTTCGCCTAGAGTCAACGTCCTCACGTCGCCTACCGCTCGCTGGTTCGTGTCACATGTATTACCCGAGCCGACTGCTAATCGTGCAAGAATCATACGCTCGTGCAAGTGCGACCGTCCTCCAAGCAAAACACAACTGAACGAACGGAAACTCGAAGCACAACCTCATGCACTGGCTATGGAAGCCCGTTAAGTGGCACTAGCAACAACCATCTACAAAGGATTAGTCGAAGGCGGCGGTAATACAATCATTGCCGATACCCGGCCGACGATCATCGACGTTTGAGGGCTTACGAGCGGCGTCAAATCGCGCCTCACGCCGGCGTATTCTGCGCCGAACATCGTCCACGGTCCGTCCAGCCGTGTCAAGTCAAGACGCTGCTAGCCGTCGCGACGACTCGTAGAAAACACTGCCACCAATCGATCGATCCTCAGCATCCTAAGCACTACCGCATCTTTCTCGAACCCCAACGGGACGCTTTCGAGCGCGTTCAACGCGTGGTTTTCGACATGACGATCTGCAGCAAACAAAATCAATGGGGATACGCGGCTAATTGAACACTCGCAGCAAGCATGGCTCGAAGATGAGAGCGCTTGTCACAAGGCGACAGTGAACGCTGTTTCTATGCCATACGCTAGGCATCTATCGGACTACAAGTAACAAAGCTCTAATAAATCTGTCATCGATCTGTCATGATAGATACGGTGGTTGTACTGAAAATCATGATGAGATCCCAAACAGCGCTACCTGTGAAGTATCCACAAAGTGCGATGGTACAAACGGGTCAAAAACGAGGAGATGCTAAGAACAATGATGTGAGAAACCTGTCAAGCTCCGAATCCGGGGCCTATTTCCGTTTCATAAACGAGCCCAAAACGAGTGAAACAAAAAAGCAATCTTTCTTATGAGACACCGTCCACTGGCCGCAGAGATACTTATAAAACAACGATATAGTTACGTCTCGCAGAGATAGGCCAATCTGCGACACACAGCAGGATCATTACAGTGGCAGTAAGTGAAGTGTAACAGAAAGATAGATATCATACGAAACGGATCAGATATCGTCAATCAAGGTAAATCTGCACATGAAGCACTCTTAGCCTTTAATGAAAACAAACATAACCTATAGCACGAAAAGTCAGACGGTGAATGAACAGTTACATAAGAGTGAGTAAAATTAAAGATTCCTCAAACAGCACTGTTGGCATAACTACCTTTTACAAATGGAAAGAATAGGATAGATAGTACAGGTCCCAACAAAGTCGAGATCGAAACGACACCGGATCGAAAACTTTTAGCTGCAGCAGAAGGCAATAAAGGACGAGCATTAACCGGATCGTGCTATACTTTGTGCTGTTTTCGGTTATGGCTAGCAATGCGTGAACAAGATGAACTACATGAGCAAGCAATGAGACTGACGTTGTTCACTCGGCAAAGAATCGGACTCAGAACCAGGAGATTCTCTGTTCGACCCCCAGTCGGGTCACTCGCCTTGCTTTTTTCCAAGGATGATAAATGAGTACCACTCCGTAGGAAGGAAATAGAAGACCAAACAATATACTTGCCACAAATTCGCTATTGATTCTCTCTTGAAATCAAGATTCTCCTGTCTGATTAAAATGAAGATCAGCGCCCCATCATTAAGTTCTTGAAAAAAGGGCGCCAGAAATGGCCCTATCGTGATAGGGTAAAGTAGAGACTCGAACTTCTAACGGTTACGAGGCTTCCTTTCCTTACCACGAACGACATACTCAGATGACTTAGACCTCTAGATGCTCAGGAAATCATTTAAGCAGGACATGGCCCATAGCTCATCAGCATTTGCAGTCACCCTGCATCATTTTGTTGGCTACAGCAACGCCTGGTTCGTTAACGATTGTTTCAGGACATGCTGCAGTATCCATGCTTTCGCACTATATAAAAAACGGTTTCGTTTACCGGCAATGCGCTAATAAGCTATACATTCGTTGAACCGGGTTCCCGCTGCACTGCACACCTCTGTTTCAAGACTTCTAAAAGTGATCTAAAAAAGCCACACCTCCACAACCACCTACAGATGCATCCCTGATCTCCATAGGATCAGCGCAAAGACATCTAAAACATCACCTTCCAAAAGGCGCCACCGTTTATATACTTTACAAACAACTGTTAAAAATTGGTTCGAAAGACGAGTAACATTACATTTTAAAAAGCATAATTAAAACAATTAAAACAAACCGAGCCAACACAGTGCAGCATATTTGGATTAGACTGAATTGGTTTTATCAACAGGTTATCAGCATATTACCCCCTTACGAATAAATCTATGATTCCAAAACAAGGCAAAACGCTATATTCATAACGTAAGAACGATCGTTTTGCAAACGAAACATCCGCACCATAAACGACCATGACATAATGCCCGTCCCAGACATCTTACGGCAATCACTTAACTAACGGAGTCGTCAAAAAGTTTCATGGAGATCCAGACGGTTGCCGCAAGATTTGCAAAAATATCAACATTTCAGTGAAAAGCTTGAAAAATGTAAAAGCTGCTGCAATTGACGAAATCCGCCCTGAGATGCTCAAGGCATTAGGAGAAAAAGGCATATGTTGGCTAAGACGTGTCTATCAAACTGCGATGACTGCGGGAAAGACACCAGCGGACTAGAGAACGGGTGTTATTGTACCC